TGCATTTTCAATTAATATCAATATGTCTAATTCTGGGCTTAGGCCTCTGTAAGGAAATTATACTTGGGTTACTTGGGTGTGTCTAGGTAGCCTTCCTACAGTGGTGTGATGGGTTTAGCCTGTTTCCCTGTGCCCTTGATTAACTAATGTCCTAATCATGGGCCTAGTTAGACCTGATTTCAAGTCTCTGCCATTATCTCCATGGGGTAGCAGGATTATTTAAGTCCTTTCTATAGTTTCTTGCTTAAAGGCAATTTTTGCCTACCTTATAAAAATGCAATTGTAAACACAATGCAATGCCCTGTCACAATTTTTGAGACAGGGTCTCCCTGTAGTCCCAGCTGATCTGGAACTAACTATCTAGACCAGGCTGGCCTCAAACTCAGAGATCTGCTTGCCTCTGCCTCCCAAGTGCTAGAACTAAAGGCATGCACCACCACACCCAGCCCAGAATGCAATGTCCTTTTAAGAAGTCATTTTCAAATACCCATAGAGGTGATAGAGGTAGACTTCTAAAATACTCTGAAGGGCATAAAATAAGGAAGCTATATTAAAGTGAGAATCATAAAGTTATTTGAAAGGAACTGACCTTTTTTTCTCATCTCATTTTTTTCCTGTGATAAAATTATGTTTCCAAATCTAATAATTTTTTGTTGATCAGGAAATGAATTATTAACCTTCCTTGTGATCTTGAATAATGCAGATTGAGACCTCTATCGTTTAGAAAGGGCTATCTGAGGTGTTTAGTGTTAAGCTGGTGTTTGGCATCTGCTTTTCTTCTTGGACCAGCCACTACTTAGGAAAAATATTAGTACCAGTTTTTTACTTAAATATTAAATGAGACTTCAAATATACTTCTCATATACCTTTCATTTTAAAATACTTTAATTTTATTATTTTTAAATTACATGTATATATGTGTGGGAGTTACAGACAATTGTGAGCCACCTTCATGCTAGGTATCAAACCCGGGTCCTCTAGAAGAACAGTACACACTCTTAACTGCTGAGCCCTTCTGTCCAGGCCCCCTACCTTTCATTTTTAATAGGCAATTTTTGCAGACTCTTCTTACTGAGAATTAAGTATTAAAACCTAAGGGAATCAGTTTCTAAGTATATAAATCTTTGGGGTATAAAGAAAGCTGGGATTTTTAGAGGCAAATAATTATCACTGTTGTTCAGTTAGGCTGTTCTGAGTTACCTTTCTGATGAAGCGCCCAGGGTGTTCCAACTAAACAAGTGCTGACTGCTACTGCTTGATCATTAAATGTGGAGCAGGTAATGTGAATTGCATGAAATAATTCTTTAAAACAAATGTCTACCCTGTACAATATTTTATGGATTGATAAAATCATAACTCAGAGCTGGGCTGTGGCACACGTCTTTAATCCCAGTACTCGGAAGGCAGAGGTAGGCGATCTCTGTGAGTTCAAAGCCAGCCTGGTCTACATAGTGAGTTCCAGGCCAGCTGGGGCTACAGGGAGACCCTGTCTCAAAAAAATAATAATAAAAATAAAAATTATAACTCAGATTGCTGGAACACCAATATCAGCTATTGCTCAGATTACTGAAAGTGCAAACATCTTTTATACTATAGGGACTTCATCCTTGTGCTGAAGTAGATAAGTATTTTAGCTCAAATTAGTTTTCAGCCTGGTTTGTCCCCTAAGCCATGGGTACATCATTCTTCATTGGTCGTGAATGCACAGAAGGAATTCTAGTGCTGCTGAAAACGTCCACATATAAGAGGGAAATGCCCTTTGGACTCTTCCTGTCCTCACCCTCCAGAAATTCTACTGAATGTGGGAGGAAGGAGGGTGGAAAAGGGGGCTTGAGCCAAACGTAAGTCAACATTTTCCACCATTGGGGAAAAGCTTCATAAATGTGATATGCCTCCCGAAGAACCTTTAAGAACTTTGAGAACCTCTCATTTCAACTATTCCTAAGAAATTTAAAGTTTGTTTTTACATAGTCTTTAGTTTTGGACCTCATCTTTTTAGAAATTTATTTTATTTTTATTTATGTGTGGGTGTCTGTGTGGGTGCCCACCTCTGAAGAGAGTGTGGGATACCCTGGAGCTGGAGTTACAGGTAGTTGTGAGTCACCAACATGGGTGCTGAGAACTGAACGTGGGTCCTCTGCAAGAGTAGCAAGTGCTCTTAATTGCTGAGCTATCTCTCAAGTCCCTAGACCTTATTTTTCTAGCCCTCTTGTATCTTCAGGGTCTGGTAACACTATATAATCTGCCTGTATCCATCACTCATATGTTTATTAATTTGTCCCTTTGTTCACCTTACTTCATGCTCCATGTTGTACCAAGACCTGTTACATTGTCCTTCCCTATTTCTTCCCTTCCATTTAAGATTCATCCTCTCCTGGGGGCTAGAGAGATGACTCAGCTGTTAAGAGCACTGGCTGCTCTTGCAGAGGGCCTGGGTTCTGTTCTAGCACCCAGGTGGCAGCTAACAGCCACACCTAGCTCCAGTTCCAGGGGACCCGATACCCTCTTCTGACCTCCATAGGCAATGCATGCATGTGGAACACATATATGCAGGCAAAACACACATATACAGAAAATAAAAATAAATAAATCAAAAAATATTTTTAATATTTTATTTATTATTTTTATTTTATGAGTGCAATGCCTGCATGTATGTGCATCCGTGTTGTAAAATGCCCGTGGAGATCAAAAGAGTCATGGAAGGTCGTTAGCCGAAATGTGGGTGCTCTGAAGCCCTCTTCTGACCTCCGCAGCATTGCACGACACAGGTGCACTCACATACATGCAGGCAATACACTCATACACATAAAATAAAAATAATAAAGTGTTTTTTAAAAAAAAGTATGCTCAGAAGTCAGAAGAGGGTGTTGGATTCCCTTGGAACTGGAGTTACAGACAGTTGTAGCCACCGTGTGGGTGCTGGGAATCAAACCAGTGCTCTTAACCACTGAGCCAATGCTCCAGCCTCTCAAAAAAATATTTTAAAAATTTATCCTGGGATAAAGATGGAAAGATGGCGTAGCTGTTGAGTGCTTGCTGCTCTTTCAAAGGACTGGAACTTGCTTCCTAGTTTACCTCTAATGCCAGCTCCAGGGACTCTGACATCTCTTCTGGTCTCTGCGGGCACCCACACACACTAACACATACACATAATAAACAATGAAATAAATCTTTCGAGAAAATTCCCCTCCTTCTGCACAATGTTAATCTCCCAATTCCATAGTACCCTTTTCTTTCCAAAACACACTGGAATCAGATTCAGGTAGTCAGAATTCTCCAATCACCAGTAACATATGAACAGCAGGGAAATTGTCTTAAAATATACGTCAAACTTTAAAATAACCTACGGAACATTTTGCAAGTGAAATCTCATCGATGTAGCTTCACAGTCTTTTGCTAAAGCAGAAGCAGTTGCCCATGGCTCTGCTGCTCAGCTCCTGGGCATCACTCTGAACTGTAGATGACCCCTTCTTGTAAAATATTCCCAGTACCATGGTTTATTGTTTTCAGATTTGCACAGCTAATATTTGCTTTGGGTGAGTACTCATTTCAGCCATTAAAATGACCAGTTTTTACTGAGAAAGACCTTTAGTTTCCCCTAATCTTGCTCATAGTGCTTGGGGTGTGGCTCAGTGATAGAGTAGGTGGCTGCTATGGCAAGGCCCTGGGTTCAGTCTCCATTATTGCAGAAAAAAATGAAAGCCAGTTGTACATAGTGAATTTTAATCAATTCTGTTCAAAAGTTTGTCTTTCTTTTCTCAGTTCATATTGTTTAGTTTTTGGAGGGAAGGAGAAGCACAGTTTACACAGCTTGTTAACAGTTTACTTTCTATTAGCTAGTTTTTGCTTTGGTCTGTAGAAAACTTGAAGCATGTGATAGTTCATAATTTCTAACAAAATCATTAGTCTAGCACTGTAAATGGGTACGAGGGCCCAGGAGGTCAATTGTAGAATACCTCTTGATATTCTAGTTAATTAGAAACAGTTATTCCCATAGGCTAGATCTTTTAGTAGTTGAGGTGAGTTGTAGCCCAATACTGTATAATTGTTTTGCATGTAAGTTAAATGACTTAGCAAATGAACAAATTGTGTAAGCATCACCAACATCTAGTATACCACAGAGAGAAGCTTCTAGCCCATTTGCAGTTATTCTCCAGGACTTCCTGGAATTCCAGAAAGCCGCAAAGTGGTTCCTGTCTCTACTGATGGGCTTTTCTTACTCTCATAAGAACTAGATACAGAACTAACCCCACCCACTTAAAATGGGGTAGTCAGCACATTTAATGTCTACCAAGCATATTACCCAAGAATATAGTGCTCAGTGGTTAAGAGCACTGGCTGTTCTTGCAGAGGACCTGGGTTCGATTCCCAGCACCCACATGGTGACTGACAACCATCTGTAACTCCAGTTCCAGGGCAATTCAATGGTTTTTCTGACCTCTGTGGGCATTGCATGACACAGGTGCACTTACATAGCTACAGGCAATGCACTCATACACATTAAAAAAATAATAAAGTTGCATATAATGGACTGAAATTATTATTTACATTAAAAATTATTTCAATTATTTTTTTTTTCAGAGCTGAGGACCAAACCCAGGGCCTTGAGCTTGCTAGCAAGCATTCTACCACTGAGCTAAATCCCCAACCCCCAATCATTGTTTACATTTAAAATTTTTCTTGCAAGACATTTGCTAACTAAAGCGTCATGAAGAAACTTTATAAGCCTGTTTGCTTCCTTAATTTAAACCCTATATTATACTGAAAAAGATGTGGGATCTTATGGCAGTCTGAAAACTTGTGATCTAAGCTTGGACATAGTAGTTTAGGCTTATGATCCCAGCATTCAGGAGTCTGAGGCAGGAGGATCACCTGACTCCAGCCTGGTCTGCATAGTAAGTTTAGGCCAGCTGGGTCTATGGGGAAAATCAAAACAGAATGGAAAACTAAGGAAGCATAAGACCTGACGAGGATATTCTCCATGTTTCTTCTGTTCGCAGAGTATTTCACAGACACGCGAGGGTTTTCAGTAAGCAGTTGTTTGATCTTCTTCAGAGGTTTCAAGAACTTGTTAATAAAATAACAAGAAAAAATTTTTGAGGTAGGATACTCCCTGCTGGCCTTGAACTTGCTATGGAGTTGAAGATGACCTTGAACCCCTGATCCTCATGCTGTTTTTTTTTTTTTTTGTCCACCTCCCCAAGTGCTGGGATTATAGGCATGTATCACCACACCCAGTCTAAGCAATGCTGGGAATCCAACCTTTGGCCTCTGCACATGAGGCACCAGCCTTAAAATAAATTTTGTGGTGTGTCTGAAGTGGAATCACATTGCTCACAGAGGTCAAACCTGTGAGTGCATTGATAACTGTGCATGTGATGTTTTAGGTGGGAAGAGTTTCGTAAGCAAGTTAAGCTTAAAGTTAAAATGTCCTCTAGCCCAATTGGATCCTATTAACATAAAGTAAGATACCTATATTATAAACTTAACATGGCAGCTCATTAAGAATAGTAACTAATTAATAAGTGAATATAGTAGGCAAATGGTAAGCAAAGTCTATTTCTTCTTTCTCCCCATAAGATGAGGGACACATTATATACTTACTTTTTTCCTACTTGTATATGTGCACATGTGTTTTGTTTGCTTCGTTTTGTTTTTGCAGTGATGGATATTGATCCCAGGGTCTTGCACATGCTAGACAAGAGTTCGGCCACTCGGCTCCACGTCCAGCTTTTGATGTTATATTGGTATAATGCAGTGCTATCTAGAGGACTGCTTCTGTCTCTTTAAGAAACCAATAGATTGTCTCTTAGTCTTCTCACTGACTACTGTTCATCTATAAAAATGTCATCTACTGTAGGCAGGGGTGTGCCATTGGAGTGAACCTCCTGAGATCAGAGTCCTGATTTAAATGTGGGATTTGCTGTTTCCTAGCTGATCTTGGGCAACTCACTTTGTCTCATTTTATTTTCTGTAAAATTGGGCTGACAGTATTTCCTAGGATTGTTATAGTGTCAATTAGACAATGCAGAAGAAAAGTACTTGGCGTGTAAATAACATTTGCTGACAGCTGTCATATTTGGTTGCTATTTTATTCTCTAACTTGTTTTACTAATGGCTTTATGATGACTACTGAGTTTTCTTTTGTCAGATCTTAGAAAGTTTTTGGTTCTTGTGAGAAACTCTTCAGGTATTTGTTACTGGTAATTCAGTTCAGTACAGTTCAGTCTCAAACTCTAAGGTTAAGCTATAGCTCTCCTGTGTTTCACACTCAGTATGTCCTTCTCATTGTATTTCCAATCTGTACATGTAAGATCATATTTTCTTTGATCAGGGATTTATCAGCTATCTTTAATAGATTAAATCTGTCTAAACTTTAAATTCTATACATAAACTTAGATGAGTCCTCTTAATTGTTAAACTGCATCCACACATTTACTTTATCTTATCATCTTGACCTGTCCACATTCCTAGCAGGACAAGCTTGCAGCTCTAGTAAGCAAATCCTTCCTCGGCCTTGAACTTTATGTTCTGTCACCTCTGTAGATGTCTACTGAGCTTCCCAGCAGGCCTATGGAGGGAGGCTAGTGGGAGCGAGTGGCCTTTCATATCACACCTGAGCTTGCATCCTGAGTGTGTATTCCATGGCCTGTTTCCCTTCTTTTCTTACTGTGGCCTCTGGTAGGAATTATCAAGGTTTTACTTTGCCTATTCAGATGGGAATGTCACGTATCTGTATACCATATTCTTCCTTTAGTATCTCCATATCTGTTTTGTAGTCTTACAGTTATTAAACACTTCAGGGTATCCCTGAAGTGCTTGGGGTGAGAAATGTTTCCGATTTGGAGCCTGGAGAGATGGCCCAGCCGTTGAGTGCCCGCCGGTAGGGCTCAGTTCCCAGCAATCTCTGCCTGTAACTCCAGCTCCAGGAGGTCTTATACCCTAATAAATCTTTTTTTTTTTTTTAAAAAAAAAAAAAAGAAGTGTTCCCAATTTTGGGAATTTTAAAAATTGAAATGTTAGGATATACAAAATGAGATTTCCAGAGGATGGGATTCCAGTTTAAACTCAAGTTCATTTGTGCTTTATTAATATATACAAGTAGAGGTAATTTTGTACAATGTCTTAATAATTTTGTACATGAAAAAATTGTATGCACTGAACTAATTTGCATATGAGTGCCAAAATTCTTTAGATTTTTTTAGCATTTCAGAATTTTCCAATTAGGAATGCCCATCCCCTCCATGTTGCCACACAGTATTTCACAGCAGTAAGATAGCCAAATACTTTGTGTATTTCTTATTTCACTGGGATAAACTCACAAAACAGGAACTAGGTAAAAGTGCTGTTGCAGTGGCTCTGTAGTGTGATTGTGGGTCTAGGAGCACAAATCTATGGCCACTTTCATTTTTCATTGCCTACAAATTTCAGAACTTTTGTCATATTACAGGAAAAATCCTCTTGGGATTATTAAAATTAAATGACTAACATTATATATTAATATGATCACATCAAACCTTAATGACGTCCAGTCTCACCTTCCTTCCATGAAAATGGTATAGCTTTGTATTTTATCTTCATCGTTGTTAATTTTTTATACTTTCCTCATATAATTCCATATATTTCCTTTCAATTATTAGGACTTGACGCTACTTTTGTCTTTTGGTATAGCAACCACATCAATAGTTTGTGGTCAGGTAGTGAACATATTTTTATTAGGCTTTTAAAACTGGTTATTATGGTTATTGAATGAAGATGCATATGTGTTTATTTGAAAATAGAACAAGACTTTCCAGTTGAATAGTATATGCTTGAGAAAGCTGGTTTTACAAGTACATTTTTTTATGCTTTTCATTAATTACATGCCTGTTTTCTTGTCTTGCTTTATTGCCTAAAATGGTGTTCAGTCATAGGAAACAGAAGTAGAATGTAGGAACACAATATATGCTTTTCTGTGGTTTAACAAAAAGATTCTTTTTTTGAGACAGGGTCTCCCTGTAGCTCCAGCTGGCCTGGAACTCGCTATGTAGACCAGGCTAGCCTGGAACTCACAGAGATCCGCCTGCCTCTACCTCCTGAGTACTGAGATTAAAGGTGTATACCACCTCACCTGGCCTGATAACCCCTTGAAAAACAGATTTGTTTTTATTTTTGTATGTATATGTGTGTGCCTGAGTATATGAATAGGTACCACAAGCATGCAGCTACACACAGGGGCCAGAAGAGGGGACCAGATTCCCTGGAACTAGAGTTAGAGGTGGTTGGGGCCACTGTGGGTGCTGAAAACCAAACCTAGGTCCTGTACAGCAGTAGCAAGTGCTCTTAACTGCTGAGTCATCTCTCTAGCCTGATAATCACTTTTTTATATTATTTATTTTTATTTTATGTGTATAAGTGTTTTGCCTGCGTGTATGTAAGTGCACCCATGCATACCATGCCTTCAGAGGCCAGAAGAGGACGTCAGTTCTCCTGGAACTGAATTATGGATGGTTGTTAGCCACCATGTGGGTGCTAGGAACCAAGTCCAGGTCCCCTGCAATTATAGCCAGTGCTCTTAACCACTGAGCCATCTCTCCAGACCACAATAATCACTTTTTAAAGACATATGCTTCTGGTATATTTTTACTATAATCACTTCCTTATTTTAAGTATTTTATTTTATGTGTATGAATGTATTGCCTGCATGCATGTAAGTGTGCCCATGTTGTAAAATACCCAAACAGGTCAGAAGACGGCATCAGACTCCCTGGAACTGAAATTATGGACTGTTGTTAGATACCGTGTATGATGAGACCCAAACCCAGGTCCTCTGTAAGAGCAGCCAGTGCTCTTAACTGCTAAGCCATCTCTCCGACCCCATCACTTCCTAATTTTAAACCATTCTTAAATGTCTGAAATATATCCTACTTTGTAGTTTAAAAAACTAACAAAACAATACCAATGTACTAAAAAAAAAACCCTCAATGTTTTATATTTGCTTTCATAAGGGAGATGGATTTGTAAAAACCCTGAACTGTCTTGATGCTATCTAGGTTAACTTATATTACTTTAAAAGCTTGGCATCTGTTTTGTGCTCTGGCATGGTGACCCAAACAGGTGTACTGATGGGCTTTCCACACAGCCAGAGGAGCCATCGTAGCCCTGGCTGGCCTGTAACTCACGGTGTAACCCAGGCTGGCCTCAGTCTCCCAGAGATCTGCTTGTCTTGGCCTCCCAAGTGCTGGGACTAGAGGTGTGCACCTCCACACCCGGTCCACTGTAGCTTTTGTCACTTTCTCAGACAGTGGCAGGAAAGGTAATTACAAGAATGAATATGTCATAATCATCTTCACGATAAACATTGAGTCTGGAAGTTGGTTGACACAGATGAATATGTTGTGTATGTTTAACCTTAATGAAATCCCAAGGAAAATATCAATTCTACCACTAATGACAGTAAAGGGATATTGTACTCACAGAGTGCTGCTCCTCCAGTTTTTCCCAGGGGCACAAGCTCTTCTTGGTAATTACTTCAGTTGTCTTCATGGTAATCCCCTGAGGTGGGTGCCTGAGTTCTAACTCTTGAAAAAGAAGTGATTGGATTTTCTTCTCTGTCACGGTCTATGTTATAGAACTAGATGGTAACCTTTTGAAGGCCACCTGCATGTCCGCTGAGCACATGTGGAATGTTGGCGACATGGTGTGAACTGGGCAGGAGTGGGTAGAGTCCGGCAATGGCTGCTTGTGGGTCTGGGTGTCTTCCTTGGAAGCAGCAGTCTGGTGCTACAGTCTTGCTGTTGGAATTGTCTTACTGAGGCCCCTCTGCAGACAGCTACTCTTCTCACAACATGGCACTAGGGTGCTGCACTAATGTCTCAGTAGTTGGGGGATTTTCAGAGGCTCAAGAGGAAGGCAAGAAGTTGGAAGAGACTGCTCCTTCTTGGCTGCTCATCCTCCACCGATCCTCCCTTCCTCTACCGGGCCAACCTCCCTCTCACTGTTCTTTCTCAAGAGTGGACAGTGTCTGCAAGTGGATGCCCCTTGTCAGAGGAGAGGGATATGTTACAACTAAACCTAACTTGTTGCCTTATGGCTAGCTCATTCCTGGCCTTCCTTTCACAATACAACTGTTCCCTTGTCTCCCTCAGCCCTATTGTGGCGCCATCTCTTCAACTAAACTAGATGCACTTGGCTCTCTCTCTCTCTCTCTCTCTGTGTGTGTGTATTATATGTGCATGCATGAATGAATATGTGTGTGTGGTGTGTAGACCAGAGGGCCACAGCAAATGTCTTCCTCTACCTTATATTTTTGAGACAGTGCCTGTCATTGAACCTGGAGCTCACTAATTCAGCTAGACAGGCTGACGAGTGAGCCTGAGGGACCCACCTGTCTTCGCCTCCCTGAACTGGAGTTATAGCCCCATTCCACTGTGCCTGGATTTTTAAGTGGGTTCTTGGGATCCAAAGTCAGGTCCTTAGACACAGCAGGCATATTACCATCTGAGCCATCTCCCTAGCCCATGTTGTATAGTTTTTTTGTTTAGTTTTTTTTTAAAAAAAAAACTTTAAATTCCCACTCTCGCATTCCTCAGTGTTGGGATATACAAGTATACAATAAACTCTTGTACTTTATGTTTGCCACCACAGTTGCAAGAAAATCCTGCATGTATTAGCTGTACTATTTTCATTTTTCCCTCTTCTTTCCACTAAAGACTCACTACATTGATTTTTCCTTCCCTGACATTACCCTGAAAGGGAGGCCTTTGAGATTGAGAGGGACGTGCTGAAGCTGTGCAGTGTGCTCAGGGTGGGGACTAATTACAAGGCTTTCAAACCCCTTCAGGTGGCTGGGCTGCTGGTATGACTAAAATAATGCTTTTTAAATTGGGAACAGCTGGGCTTCAGGGCCAGCCTAGTATAAAAGGCTTTGCTCTGTGCGTAAAGAAGTCTCTGGGCCTTGTAAGCTGAAGGTGCCTTTCCTCAGCCAAGGTGGGTAAGTGCCCCATGTGGGACCTCTGGGTGCTACTTTTTGTTGCTTGGTAGAAATTGTTATAGTTGCATCAAAATATCAGTTATCAATCTGCCACACCAATCCTAGTACTTCACTCATTTCCCACATGAGACATAGCAAAGTCTTTGCACATCTTTTTACTCTGTGATTTTCAAGGCTACTGACTTTGTGTCTCTGCATATAAAAGGATAAGCTGAGGCAATGCTATTTAAAATATATTGGATGTGTTTGTTGCTCTACAATCTGTTCATAAAGGTAGTTGCTAAAAGGACTGTAGGCTTTTTAATAGGAAAATTAGAAAATGGACTACTCTCAGAAATGCAGAGTAACAGTGATTCAGCAATTCACCAGAGTTTTTGATACCTTTTTGAAATTTATTTTATGTTTTTGAGACAGGTTCTTAAACTTTAATTTAGGCTAACCTAGAACTCGCTCCGTAGGCCAGGGTGACTTCAGACTCACAGCCGTCCTCCTGCCTCAGCATTCCAGACACTGGCTTCACAAGCTGAGCCACAAGGCCGCACCGCTCAGTTCTTTAAGTTTCATAGAAAAGACCCAGAGTCCGGAAGGAGTGATGTGACCTGGGCAGGTTCTAGCTTATTATGACTTCATGGTTAGCAACATGTAACTATCTACTGAAGGGTTTGAAATGTTAGGTCCTGACTTTTAGTTAAAGAAATTAACAGGGAATTATTAAGATGTTTCTGTCTATACTGACATCAGCTCAAAAAGAGACAAGAATTCCAAGATTAAGTAATTCAGTATAAATAAGTGAAATCTCAGCATCATCATTGACTATCTCCTGACGATGTCTTTGTAAAGCAGTTTTGGTACTTGTTTCCTTCTTTTGAAAATGCTTTTATTTGGGATGGTTGTTAATTGGACAAGCACTTTCTGACCCAGCTATGTTTGTTTTTGTTTTCTGTAGGAGGGACAGTAACATCTTCTGTAGGAAAGAGAATTGGCTTCCTCGTGGCGAGTACGCAGCAGATAATTACATGGGAGGGCAGTAACCAGAAGGCTTCCCTCTGGATTTAGTATCCGCAGAGAAGGTCAATTCTAAGAGTCCATGTTGATCTCAGAAGCAGAAGGATCTAAAGAAGTTAAGTTTCCACAAAGAACAAGAACTTTACCATCTCCTTTTTGATCTGGACTGGTGGACAATGGATACCACAGAGACAGCAAAACTCGAACATTTGGAAAATCAAGCCAGCGATGCCGCAAACACTTACACAAGTCCTGCTGAGCCTGTTGAAGAAGAAAACAAAAATGGTAACGGTAAACCCAAGAGCTTATCAAATGGGCTTCGAAAGAGCGCCAAAAAGTACCCGGACTACATTCAAATCTCTATGCCCACCGACCCCAGGAACAAGTTTCCCCTGGAGTGGTGGAAGACCGGTATTGCATTTGTGTACGCACTCTTCAACCTGGTCCTGACAACCGTCATGATCACAGTCGTGCATGAGAGGGTCCCTCCCAAGGAGCTCAGCCCTCCACTTCCAGACAAGTTTTTTGATTATATCGATCGGGTGAAATGGGCATTTTCTGTATCAGAAATAAATGGGATTATATTAGTTGGGCTATGGATCACCCAGTGGCTATTTCTGAGATACAAGTAAGTATTAATAAGGTTTTTAGAATTTGTTGTTTTTAAAAGAGAAAACGTGTCGTTGAAATTACTTTTCCCAATTTTCTCCTGATGAATGTAGTTTTACCTAGACATTTGATGAAAGAAAGCATTCTTGGTCTCCAGCAGGGTGGTGGAGTAGTATTTCCACAGAAAATCAAGGCATTGAGAAAGGAGTGGCATGCTTGCGTCATGCTTGTGTTGTTTCAGGCTCTTAGTGGGTACAGCAGGGTGGGCCAGGACGCTTTGCAGTATTACCTACAGTGAGTTGATTGGATCAGTCTGCCATCAACAGCCTGTTGGCGTTTATTCAGAAGTTCTTATGTTTGTTGGTTTTTTCCTCCCTATGGTAACACAGTAACAAATGTTTGTTGAAGAAACTGAATTTGGAGCTAGGTTTTGGTGGTTGGGGTTTTAGATTTCTAAAGTAAACTTGCCTTCTGGTTTCCCGTTGGCACAGGAAAGGAGACCATGGTTCACTAGGGCCCACCCCTGCCTCCCTCGTCCCTTTCTTGGAAAAGTAAGAACCAGGAAGTAGGAAGCCAGGCTTTCCGCTCTGAAGATACTTTTAAGTGTGGACATAGCCCTGATGTGGTTATTTCTCCTGCTTTCTGTGAATTCCTACTCTGGTCCACAAAAACAAAGGACCCCATGTCCTCCTGTCCTTGTCTTCATCATTCAGGTGTTTACTTTCTACTAGATTCCACTAATTAGATCACTAACATGAGTTTGAGCAAAATATCCATAATACAGGGCTTTAAAAATGTAACATATAGGGGCTGGAGAGATAGCTCAGGAGTTAAAAGCACTGGCTGCTCCTTCAGAGGACCCAGGTTCAATTCCTAGCACCCACGTGGTGGCTAACAACTGTCCATAACTCCAGTACCAGGGGTATCTGACACCTTCTCTGACCTCTGTGGGTATTGTACAACAGAGGTGCCCTTAGACACATGCAGGCAATGCACTCATACACATTAGTAATAATAATAAATAAAAATATTTTTAATGTAATGTATGGTAACTCCCTCAGTACGGCTTTAAAATTCAACATTGAGTTGTAGAACTACAAGCTCATTTTTAGGAGAGAGAACCCAGCTGGTTGGTTTTGCTTGGTGATTAGAAGAATTTAACCAGTTTTTGTCAACGACTTTCCCAGAGACAACCCTGCAGGTTTGAAAACTTATTCTACAAACTGAAGTCATTGCTCAACATTTGCCTTATTATAATTCTGAATATGTTTCTTAAATATATTTAAGTGAAAGGTAGAGCTAGCATTACCTTTTACTTAGTAGAAGTGAGTTTCTTCTGCAGGTATCACTCATGGTGTACTATGCTGAAAGTAAAGAGATTTAGTGAACAGAAGTTTTCTTTTTAGTGTCTGGAACGGACTCTGATCATAACAGAGCTTGCATAGGCCACAAATGTCTGCTTTCTCCTTCAATTTGTATGAGAAAGGATATTCATTTTCATACGTGTATGAAGAGAGTCGCCCCACCCTACCCCCCAAGCCTGGTATATAGCTGGACTCTCTCCTCAGTCGAGTCTTCGCCTCGGTTTACTTGAATCTCCCATCTAGGTATTTTAGCCACCTTCCTATTACTGTCTTGGCGTTCACCATGTAAGGTTCATGGTTGCAGCCTAGGAATGTGGTTCAGTTGGTAGAATACTTGCCTTGCTTGCATGAAGCCCTGGGTTCAATCTCCAGAATAAAGAAAAAAAAAGTTAGAAGGAAAATGTTGCACCTTATCCTACTTGAGTATTACACCTTGCACATTGACATACTGTATGTACTGTAAATGATGTGCAATTACTACATGTCAACTACATGTAAATTTATAAAATATCTGAAAGCCACTCAGGGTCACATACCTGGGTCATGGATACCTACTGTTGAGATTATAAATCACATTAGTTTGCCATTTTATTTTGAAGTAGAATTGGACCTTGTATTTTAATAACTGATGAGTAATTCTCATAACCGCTTTTTAATATCCTAGCCAAGTGAGAACCCCCTCCCCCCAATATGTTTTTTCTTTCTTCAATACTGGGGATAAAGCCTAGGACCTCATGCATGCCAGGCAAGCCCTCTACAGTTGAGATATCTCTCTAGTCTCTCTTTTAAAAGCCCCTTTCAAAGTTGTGAAGGGGGAAAAATCGTGAGCCATTCTTATTTCTAAAGGATGTAGAGTACATGTTTCACAAGAGTTAATGTTCTGTTCTGTGCACAGCTGAACTCAGAATGCTGGAATGAATATAATTGACTCATAATGATGTCTGCTTATTACCTGGCCTTGTCTAACACCATGGAGCACAATTCACAACGGCACTCCCACAGGGCCTTGGGCTTGAGTCAGGGGTGAATCGCTTTCCACTTAACCATGGGAGAGAGGAGCAAGCCCTGTTGGTGGCCTGTTCTTTTCAGTACTGAAACAGCAGAGCTGAGGCTCTCTTACTCCCTACCCACCCACCCCACCTTTTCCCTTCCTCCCTCCCTGCTCTCCTCTTTCTCCTTCAAACCTGGAATATTCTTAAAATAGCTGTTGGTGGCAGGCATCAAAAATAGATATTTGTACATACCTTTTAAAATTAGAAGTCCCAACAGCTACCTGAATTAAACCTTGATCCATGTGAGAACCAGTGTCTTGCAGAAAACTTAAAACCTTCCACATCTCTGAGACTGCCTGTTATTCTAGAAGTCTTTGGTCAGTACGAGTTTGGAAAGTTTAAGAGCTCTGAGAATGGGAGACCTCGTGTAATACAGTTTGTCCTGGAGAAGTTAAAACTAGCAAGCTGGGAACTTTGAGGATCCCCATTTCCCATTCCCAGAGCCAGAGAGTACAGACCCAACTATCAACAAAGGGGATGTCGCCTTGAGCTGGAAGTGAAGGCTCTCAGAGGCTGATTCCCACTCAGGTACCTACAAGACAGTGATGTCATGGACAAAACTCGTGTTTGGAGGACAGTGTACTCAGTCAGCCTCCCAGAACCACAGGCTTCAGCTGAAGACTCAGGTAGAGAAGCCCAGGGCTTAATAATCAATACACCCATTTCCAAAAGAACCACACAGTGAAAAGGACTTTTTTTTTTTCCCCATTTTCTTCCCTTTATTTCTTGACCTAGCTATTTTTTTTAACATTAATTTTTAAAATTAAATTCCTTTTTATTTTTGACACAAGGTCTCATGTATCCCACACTGGCCTTAAACTCATTATGTAACCAAAGATAACCTTAAACTTTTGATTATCCTGCCCTCATCTCCTAAATGATAAGTAGAATTACAGTTGTGTGCCACCACGCTGGCTTATGCAGTACTAGGGTTGAATCTAGGACTTGGTGCGTGCTAGACAAGCTCTCACCAGTAGCTCTCACAACTGAGACATATCCCTGTTCCTTTCATTTTTAAGTGATGCATACAAACTAAAAATTAGATTCTTTAATGGGGCATTGTGATATTTTCATATAAATATATATATTGTGTGCTGTTCAAATCAGGTTAAGGTGCTTCTTACCTCAAACCCTTGTCATTTCATTGTAGTGGAATAGCTGAAGTTCCCTCTTGTAACATGTTTGAAATATGCAATATTTTGTTGTTATCTGTAGCTGTCTGTCATGCTGTATCTCCTGGGTGTCTCGCCCCTGCCTGTAACAGTACACACTGACCAACCATTTCCACATACCCCTTTCCCAAGCACCTGCATCACCCAGTCTCAAGGAAACACTAGTCTACTCTCCATTTCTGAGACCAACATTTTTAGATTTAACATAGGAGTGAAGCATTTGGTGGTTGTTTTTCTTTGCTGGGCTCATTTTGCATAACATGATGAGCTCTAGTTCTACTGATATTGTCACAAATGACAGGACAGAATTTAACTCATTTTTTTTTATGTCTGAATGGTATTAGATTGTGTTTATGCGCCGCATTTCTTCCATTCATCAGCTGGTGGGAATTAGGTTGTTTTCATTTCTTTGTTATTGTAAACAATGCTTCAGTTAATAAGATAGTAGAACCTTTTTGAGAAAGGAAAACAACAGCCTTTGTACTCCTTTTTATTCGCTTTTGTCTTTAAAAAACATCAATAGTGAATAAAATAAAGTGACTCAGTCCGTTTACAACATTACTGTTAAATATTCGTACATGTAGTAGGTACTTTGGACATGTTCAAAATGTAATTCTCTGCAAACCTGTTTAGCCAGAGAAAATATTTTGTTCATGCCTGTGCCTAGGTTGCCAGAATACTTCTGGATGGTCCTAGGTAAGCCTTGCTTATATAACTAGGGTTTACTTGATGCCACATTTCCCCACATGTCCAATTACACAACATCACCTGGTTCATTAGATTATTCCTCCATGGCCATGGCTCACTTACACCTCTGATGGTTCTCCAGAGGGTTTTATTAATTGGCACGTTGATGGAAAACAGAGACAGTTCATTGAATTCTCTGGCAAAGAGTGACTTTTTTAGGAGAGGAGACTATCCAGACTCTTAGTCTTCTTTAGTTCCCCTTCTCCCCACACATTTAGCTCTTGTGGACCCCAAATCACTTTAGATGTATTGCAGTGTCTAAATCTTCATTTCTAGAAACAAAAGTGCAGTGTCACCATTGTAGGAACTGTAGGGTGAGGGGCTCACGAGTGCCTTTAAACACTATGAAACTGAGGCTTGTTTGTTAATTTCATTGTCTTAATTATTATTTAGTCGGTTAAACATTGTCTTATATTGAATTAGAAATATGGAGAAGCCAGTGACTTCCACCTGTAATCCTGGCACTCCAGAGGCAAAGGCAAGAAGGGAATATTGTGACTATGAAGCAAGATGGGGTGTGTAGTGTGATCCAGGCCAGCCTGGATGACACGAGAATAACAATGCTTAAGGCAGACAGACAACTGGTCAACTTGTTTTTCTCCCACCCTTGTTTTTCCCTGTAGGTCAATAGTGGGGCGCAGATTCTTTTTTATCGTTGGAACTTTATACCTGTATCGCTGTATTACAATGTATGTCACTACTCTACCTGTGCCTGGAATGCATTTCCAGTGTGCCCCAAAGGTAAGCCTCAGATCCCATGGAGAGGAAATGAAGAAAGCAGTTCTGCGCTGCTGTTCCACCCCCTTCTGTGCACTTCAACAGGCACTGGCTGCAGTCCTCTATCTTCGCTCCTTCTCTTTAGATGGGGGGAGGTATTCATTAAGAAATGTCTATATGTCTAAAAATTTGTTTTATGCTAACTGAAATTTATCACTGTTGACTTTGTTTTTTTACTTTCTCATTTATACATCTCGTGCATTCATTTTGTAAGTACTGCACTTAAGTACTGGGCACTATAGTGACCAAAACAAAGTCCCTTCCCTGGAGCTTATATCATCAGGAGATGAAAAATAATAAAAAGTTATACTTATCACATGATGATAAGTAAATCAGGTGATTGTCAGAGGAAAACAGTACACTTGTGGGAACTGTTTTACAGAGAGGTCAGGAAAGGTCAGAGATGCTGGGAAAAAAAAAAAAAACACTTATGCAGGAAGCAAGCAAGAGTGAGCCACATGGTTGGAGTGAGAGCTACAGGCCAGGAAGGCAGCTTAGCTGTACTGGGTTCAAGGAAAAAGCAGGGAGTTGGGAAGGTTAGCGGTACAGGCTGTATGTAGTTCAAAGGATATTGCTGCTCTTCAGGAGTGTGAACCTTGGTGGTGGTGGGGAAGTGATAAGCCATTTAATTCAAGACACATTTTGAAGGTAAGATAGACAAGATATACTAATACTTTAGATGTGGATTTGAGAGAGAAAAGTCAAGGAAAACTCCAAACTTTTAGCAGTTGGAAAGATGGAGTGGCCTTTTGCTGATGCAGCACGTGAAGCTGTTTGTTGAAACTGTTGGAAGGAAAATTACAGTTCCCTCACATTGTGCCCATTCACTGGAGAACCATTTATCATCTTAGACCCCTGTTTGTAAAATGGAAACTTACAAATCATGTGCTTTCTGGACAAGGAGATGAGGTCTAACATCAGACTTTACTAAACACTAAGCAGATGTCCCAAGGGAAGGGGAAGCCAGCCGTCTCCCTTACCAAATATAGGTGTGGTTTAGGGAGGCAGTAATTTCCAAAAGCCATCAAAGTAAAAAGTGTCTGTAATTAAAACAGTGTACGTATTGGATCTAAACATTGGCCGATTTTTACTGAAACTAATTTAAGGCATGGGAGGAGTTCAGAAGCATAATGCATACTTCTCAGTCTTCACCAGCGAACACTATTGCAGTGTGTGTGGTGGAAATTTCGGTGGCCACAGAGAAGAAGGAAGGCAAGCCCATCCCAGGAATGGACGAGGTTAGCAGGGAAGGATTGCTATGACTATAGAAAGAATTAGATTAAAGACTGCCCTTCTCAAAAGAATTGATATTTTCAGAAACCACATCAGTAAATGTGCTGTGGGACAACCAAGCCACAGACACTCTGACAGGAGCTCTGGTAGCTTCCTTGATAATTTCCTCTATGTTCAGCTGTCAGGCCCTCCTGAGACAAGCACACCAAGGGCCTGAATCTTGGTTCTGTAGAACAGATCCATCTCTCTGTCTGACTGGAGGAGAGGCGGTGATACAGAGCAGGAGTCCAAACTGCATTCTAAATTTGGCCCATCTTCTGTTTCCAAGTGCTGTTTAGACTCCTGTGGTTACAATGCTGTTCAATAATCTACCTGTTTGCTGTGTTAGCAGCACTGTAGAGTGCCCTTCAGGGTGAGCAATGGCAGGCCTTTGCATGCTGAAACCTCTTGCTGTGAAAAGGTGTCCCTCTGGAAACCAACATATTACACCACTTACCACTCTCAGAGTCATCACAGTGACATCTGTGGTTTGCACCGTTTTGCAGTCAGCATCTTCCTCATCTATCCAATGTCTTCCTTTAAGTCCTTGTCTTACAGTTTCTATCACATGCCCACCCAAGCTTTGGTTTACAGTCAGAATGTCTGTTTTTCTCGAAGCATGAACACTGGCTCAGGTATTATGAAATATTTTGTTTTTCCGAATCATTTTCCTGCACAAGGACAATGACGTGCTCCTGGTCTGGGAAAGCTTCTCGGGTTGGTTCTCCTCTCACTGTGACTGTAGATGGCCAGAAGCTTTCTCTTCTTAACAGAGGAACAGTGTGAAGGTCGGGTTCTTGTCTGACAGCAGCCACCTAGGACTGCCCTGTACCTACTTTGTTTTCGTGGGAAGCTATGTATGCAGGTCACAGTCAACAGGCCGCTGAAGAACACTGGAGCCCCCACCTATTTGAGTTGTTCTGATTGATGCTGGTCTCTAAGCTTTTCACATCTTCAGTCCACACCCAGTAGCAACACAGACTGGTATCTAAAAAGTAAGGAACGGAGTAGAAACAAGAGTCTTATGCAGTGTGCAGTGGGAGAACCTCAGTGACTAGACCATGTACAAATCAGAATGAAGAAGAGAGAATCCCTGTGCTCAGAAACGTATATCCAACCAAACGTTATCAGAAATCCCTGATAACACTGGAGGTGTTTTCCAAGATGCCCAGTGGATGTCTGAAATTCTACAGAATCTACAGGCAGTACTGAACACTATGTGTACTGCTTTCATTCTAATTTATATATATAAATGATTGATTTTAATTTATAAGTTAGGCACAGTAAGATTTAAAATAATGACAAAAGAGAAAAATATACCAATATACTATAATAAAAGTTAATTAAAACTTACAAATTGTTTGGGGGGGGCTTTCCTCTTAATATTTCAGACTTTGGTTGGCCATGAGTAACTGAGACTTCTGAAAGCAAACCACAGAAAGGGGCCACGTACCAACCTTGGTGAACAGAAGCAGGAAGGGGATGTGCGGCTGCTTTAGACTCCTACTTTGTTTATACCTCAGGGCATCTGACCCCAAGAAGAGAGACTAATGATGTTAAGTGTCTCTGCCTTCAGAAAATTACAGAGTTGAGATAGGCAAGTGTGGGTGAAATGAAAGGCAATGTGTCCTTTGAACTAGGCACACAGTGGTTGGGTGCATGTAGGTACCTTTTTATTTGATCACTTTGTGGGTGGTTGTTTGTACAAAGCTCATGAAAGATTCCTGAGGGATGGTGGCCGATCTGATAGAGCAAATGACTCTGTCCTGTCCTTAGTATCAAGGGCTGGGTGTGTTATATTACATAGTTTGTTGAATGCCTTTTTAAGGAGCGCCTGAAGTCAGCATGCGATCTGTCAGTAGTCTCTTGCCTTCCTCAGGTTTTCTTGTACCTGTCTTTTCCAGGTCTGATCATCTGTTACTTGGCATTTTGGGTTAAGGACTGTATTAACCACTTTTCTTTCACTGTAACAAAATGCCCAAGATACTAAGTTATAAAGAGACAGGGTTTAGTTTAGCTCACAGTTTGGGAGTTTCTACTCCATGATACATTGACCCTGTTGTTTTGGACCTTTGAAGAGGCAGCATATGGTGGTATGAACATGTGACAAAGCAACTGCTCAAATTGTGAACCAGGAGGAAGAGGAGACAGGAAGAGAAAGGGTCTCACCGTCCCCTTGAGAGTTTATCACTTATAACATAAGCCTCACCCACAAGGCCCCACATCTTTTGAAAAAATATTTTTAAATTTTTTATGTGTATTGGTAAGTGCTTACATGTATGTATGTGCACTACATGCATGCTTGGTGCTCGCAGAGGCCAGAAGAGGGTGTCAGATCCCCATAAACTGAGTTGCATGCAGTTGTGTGCTGCCCAGTGTGGGTGCTGAGATCCTAACCTGGGTCCTCTGCAAAAGCAGTAAGTGCTGAGCCATGTCCCTAGCCCAAGGCTCCACCTCTTAAAGGTTGCACTGTCTCTTAATAGCACCACCCTGGCTTAAGCATTCGGGAGATGCTCATCCAAAGGCTAGCAAGGACTGCTCCTGGGAGCTCTGTTGCTTGGGTTTTGTTGCCTGGCCTTGCTGGAGGCAAACTTCTAAAGAAGGCAAAGTATCGAAGCCTTCAGCCTCTCCCTACTTCTAATTCTGGTCCATATCGGGTTTCTTTGTGTGTAGCACCTTATTCTTAAGAGTCAAGCAATTTTTACACAGGACTCTTAATTACCAGGGGCCTTTCTGTTCTGTAATAAATCCATAAGCTATTTTAAATTGAGACATTTTTAGGTGCCCTAAGGGGGATGTTTTTAGGCAGTGTCTTGATGTATTTACTTACTGTACAGAAGGACATAATGGCCCACACCTTTAATCCCAGCACTCTGGAGGCAGAGTCAGGAGGAGTTCTGTGAGTTCAAGGCCAGCCTGCCCTACAGCGAGTTCTAGGTCAGCCAGGGTTACACAGGGAGACTCTGTCTGGGGAATAAAACTAAAAACAGAAAACAATTCCTTATTGTACTGGGTGGCGTGGTTTTCTACATACTTTGAGAGTCTCCTCATCCATCTCTGTATACCCTCCTTCACAATCGTGTATCCGTTTGGGCAAGACATGACTGTTTCTACCACCAGCTGGCCTAACCCCTGGTGTAGCTGGACTGGCCTTGCTTCAGGGGCCAACTGCTCAGAAGCACCTGTGTTGGATACAAGGCAGCATGCTGTAGACCTGTCCTCAAGTCCCAATGAATAGTAATCATCTTTCTGCAGTTCTCTTTCATGTAAACGATTCCTTGCTAACTTCCTGAGTATGATTCTTTGCTTTCCTAACCTACTTAACTCTGTGCTAAAGTAACCTGCAACCACCCATCTGACCCCCAACATTTCCATATTGCAATTTTTCATGCCTCAAATTTTGACTGACTCCTGCCTATGTGGTTAAATTTTAATAGGTTATAAATGTTTGGCTGCTATCTGGCATTCTGACCCTTGTTTCTCCTGCCATTGTGATTTCTAGAGGCTTCCTTGCCTTTGATCAAGGAGTGCTCTCTTGATCGCTGAATAGCACTTAGTTTTCTTGGGGAATGTTTTCCCTGATCAAAGCTGCTCATCTTTAAAGAAACCAGTACAATCCTTACTCTGTCATCCTCAAGCATATTTAAGTTATGGGATAGGTTGTACCTCCTCTTTCTGAGTTATGAGCAGATGTATGTGTGCCTGATGCCACCCACTTAATATGAGTCACCAATAGACTGTAGCATATTAGTAATGTGCTACGTATGCAGCTTAGTCAGATAGTAACTGTCCCAAATCTTTACTTCCTCCCGCTGAAAGGAAAGAAAATGGTTCCAATCTGCTTTTTAGCTCATAACTGTGGTGAAGTCATTGGTTATTAATATTTTTGAAAGTTTTGCCCAAGGACACAATGCCACTAAAACATATTATTAGTAATATACTGAATAATTTAAACGTGTCAATAAGCATGGCCAATCTAATGAGAATGTAGTTTGAGAAGTTTCCTCTTGGATTCTTTTTTGCTTTTTAGGTTAAAAGGAAAAATATAAAAATAAAGGGAAATAAAACAGCCTAATGGCCTTTCTAACTAAAGCATGATTTTTATCATCTTATAACTCTCCACTGCACCTTCTTGTGTCACTCAGCTCAATGGAGACTCTCAGGCAAAAATACAACGGATTCTCCGGCTGATTTCTGGAGGTGGACTGTCCATAACTGGATCGCACATCCTGTGTGGAGACTTCCTCTTCAGTGGTCACACAGTTGTTCTGACACTTACTTACTTGTTCATCAAAGAATGTAAGTAATGACTCCTTCCCACCGAACTGTCTGGAGAGGGGTCCTAGGTCCCAGCATGGATGGGATCTTTTACTTGCTGGGATTGACCATTAGGTGAGAGACAAGCAGAGTCTGTGCCTACACGCACTTGGCTCTACCGGTCCACTGACTCATGTGTGATTTGACTGCTAAAGGGTCAAGCTCTGGCTGTAGTTTCTTTTAGCATTCAGCACGCCTAGTAGGCGTTTCCTTTCTTCTTTAGTACCGCTCAAGGTAGGAAGCCCTTACTGTGGGCTCTAAGAACAACCCAAACCTTCAGCATGTTCACAAAAGAACCAGAACATTCTAGAGCCGAAGGCAAATGACCTTTGAATGATTTGCTGGATGCTTACATTCCATGATGTCAAATCGTTCAGGTAAGTTTCCTCATTTTCGTCCCATGTCCTTGTCTTGTGATTCCGTGGCGTTTCCCAGCTGCCTCTGTGGTCCTCCTCATCTTGTGGAGCACTCTTCCAGCACTCATCATTTTCTTCTTAAAAGAAGCACAGAGACAAGAAATTGAAATCCCTTTCCATATTTATAGACCAAGTTCCCATTATATCAAACCTTTATATTTTCTAGTAGTTTATTTTTTTCAATTTCAGTTTGGTTGGTTGGTGATTGTTTGGTTGTTTTCTTGGACTAGGATCTTGCCATATAATGCCAGTTGGCCTGGAATTCACAGTCCTCCTGCATCCCAAGTCCTTTACAGGGGCTTTTATTGATGAAATAGTGTCTTGTTCATTAAAGGGTTGTAATTAGCTCCAGCTGCCGGGCAGTTCCCCTTCCTGTCACTATCTGAGGGTGGGGCCACAAGCTCGGTCCATATGAATGGCAATACATGCTGTTCAGTGTTCCAGAATGCCCTGAGCCAGGCCAGTGTTCGCAGGAGCTTCACACCTGTCCTTTATCTCCATGCACAGTGGTGTGTTGCAGGGTGGCCCACTTTGTCTCCCCGCCAACATCAGTGGTGTCCTCTTTAAAGTGATACCGCCATGGTTCTAATACCCAATACTAGTTCTGGCCACATATCTTCTTTATGGGTCCAGTTTTGCCCACGAAGTTCCCTCTATGTCAATCATATGGGGAAGATGGGGAGGAGTTGCATGTCGTAGAAATGGCACTGTGGATTGAAAACCATAAAGCAAGGAAAAGAAAACATTTCAGTAAACTAAGACAAGTTTTCTAAACTAACTGAAGAACAAGTGATAGGAATAATAACACAGAAGAATCCAGGCACTCCTCTGAGCCCTGATGCAAATTAGCGCTGCAGTCTCTGCTACGCCACTAGGAGGCACTGTTCTCCTTCGGCTTTTCTCTACTTAAAGAGATACACAGCCCTGTGATACACAGCTCTAGTATTGAGGATCACCGGGTGTTCAGACTCTAACAATCTGACTCCAAAGTTGCAGTCTTAATTTCTTGAATTAGAATTTTAGAAATTCAGGGCTGGGGAGATGCCTCATCCAGTAAAGTACTTGCTGCACGAGCGTAATAACTTGAGTTTGGATTCCCAGCATTCATATAAAAACCTGGGTCCTGCAGCATAAGCTCAGTCCCAGCACTGAGAATGTGGAGGCAGGAGGACCCCTGGGCCTGCTGTCCAGCTAGGCTTGGCATCATCGAGGTCCAGGTTCAGTGAGAGACCCTGTCTCAAACAGTAATTGACGGGCAACTAAAGAAGACATAGGACTTTGAACTCCAGTCTACACACACACACACGCACACAGAGCACACACATTTATACACATGTGAACATGTACACGCATAAATTGTCAAAGAGTAGTCTACCTATTAATAAACAGGGTATAGCTCTTTTTTAAGAAAAGATTTATCATGTTTTTAATTATGGTCATCTGTGAGTCTGTGTGTAAGTATGTGCATGTGTGTGCTGATGCCCACACAGGTCAGAGGTGTCAGATGCCCCTAGAGCTGGAGTTACAGGCAGTTGTGAGCTGCCTGACGTGGGTACTGGGAATTAACTCTAGTCCTCTGGAAGAGAAGTATGTGCTCTTAACCACCAAGCCATTTTTCCAGCCCAAGGGTATAGTTCTTCCTACTGTTCTTTCTTTCCCTTCAGAGTAATTGCAGAGCAATTTGTAATTAATTTTTATGCACTATGTAGAGAGATATCTTTCCTATGACATGACTTTTTAAAGTTGCATGAGTTTACTATGATACGAGAAGAATTATATGTTTTCCAAATTTTGGTAAGAAACAAAATAGCAAATTGTAATGCAGAATACAAATTCTGTAGAATACAAGTTCTTCACATGCACAGACATTCCATGTTTATGCCTGTGTCCCATCGCGTTAGGAAGAGCGGTCACCTTCTGACCATGCTGGCTTCCCTGGGTGTGTGGTGACTGCTGGCTTCTTTGAAAAGTCTGCTTCTAGAATGTGTCGTTCATATGTGATTTCTTCTTCTGCCTTTTGATCATCTGGAATTCCTTCCTTGCTTGCTCTGTTGTTGAGAGTGGATTTAAACTCGGTTGTGAGGCCATGTGGGATCAGAACCATTTTGTAAGTTAACAAGAAAGGCCTTAATTGCATCAATATTATCATTGGCATCTGGATTCTTTATATTTTTGCCTGCAGAACTCAGCCATGCTGTAATACTAAATGTCTGGCGTAGTCATCAACAGATTTTCTTAGTGCTTGCCACCATACCAGTCCATCATCTCTATTTAATGCTAACTCTGTCCACGATCCCACACAGATAGCAAAGTTTGTTGGTATTTATGTTGCCATTGTTTAGTTTGGTGTTATCTCTGTCAGTGGAATGACAGCAAAGAGGATTGCCATTTGCCATTTCTATTACAAAATAGCTATTCTAATAGCACACAATGTAATCTTAGCACTTAGGAGACTGAGGCAGGATTGTGAGTTTGCGGCTAGCCTTAGTGAGACACTGTCTCAAAAGATCAAACAGTGAAGCAACCTGGTAGTGAATCATTTTTGGGTGGGTAGGAAGGGGAGTCCGCCAGTGTTCTCTCTGAATAGTGGTCCCGATGTGGCAGTAAGGTTTCCATTCCTAAGGCTTCACTTCCAATTCTACCAATAGTAAAATAACCATGCAGGACTTGCTCTAATTCCTTACCTATTTCAGCCTCGCTTCTTGTGACCAACAATACAGAACAGTTGTAATGTGCCCAAACAGCTTGGGCTGTTAATGAGTACCACATGGCCTAGAGGCAGAAAAGCAGAGGGGACGGGGCTGGGCGGGGACTGTGGAGCCGGAATGCATTAGTGAGACCTTGGTGTTCTCAGACTGCACAGCAGCCATGGACTGGATCTGCACCTTCCCGCAGGCCTCTTCTGGCACTCAGATCCTAGGATTTTGTGAGTTATCTTGGAGAACCTAGTGGCACAATGAAATAATTAGGAAATAATGAAGAATATAACCAAAATGAGAAAACCAAATATAGGTCTATGGTTCCACTTGGGACCAACAGAATTGTAACTATTTTGCCAAAAATCATTTTGTAGATGAATGATAACCAGTTAGGCATTCATCTGAAGTTTTGGAGATTTGTCCACCTCCCTTTTTTGTTTGAATGTGTATGTCAGTATGAACATAAAGTTTAATATGAAATCAATTTCAGTTTATTGGATCATTAAACTTTTATTGTTAGCTAGTAAAGCTTTAAAGAAGATCAACAGATGGTCAGATAATTAGGGGTAAACTAGTGTCATGTGTGTCATCAAGACTTGCGTGAGATGGCCTTCGGGTTGTGATTATGTTAACCTGATGCAAGCCCTGGGTCTCTCATGACTGGTCAGTGACATGAACTTCTGGGCAGCCTCAACCCTCAATGTACACCTGGAGAAATAATGGTAAATTGAAGCCACGAAATTATTCCTGCTTTCTGTCTTGTCCCCTTGTCTTCATAGACACTGGCCTTTTCTTTTGACCCCTGTTGTGTTTCCTTCCAGGGGAGTCACTTGTGTGAGTGAGTAGGAGCCAATTCTAGCCAACTTAATCAACAGTTCTATTCTCGTCCCTATTAAATGGATTATTAAACATGGGGAAGCCCTAGAATATCTGTGGTTACCCCTTCACCCTCCTGCAAATCACTATTGTACCTGCTAGAGCAGTCTTCCTTCCTGAGCAAACTGAACGCAGTTCATAACAGTGATGATCCTCAGTTGCTCCACTCAAGGTTATTAGGAAAGATTGTAGTACTTAAGTTACTCTCTGGGTGCTGAGAGTGTCACAGTGTGGGAGAACTTTCCTTAGCATGCACAAAACCCTGGGTTCCAACCATCTGTCAGTCCGTCCATCCATCAGTCCATCCATCCCTGGGAAACTTACCAACTCTGTCTCCCCTCTAGATTCTCCTCGTCATTTCTGGTGGTACCACCTCATCTGCTGGCTGCTGAGTGCTGCCGGGATCATCTGCATTCTTGTAGCACATGAACACTACACTGTCGACGTGATTGTTGCGTATTATATCACAACGCGACTGTTCTGGTGGTACCATTCCATGGCCAATGAAAAGGTGAGCGCAGCGAAGATCCTTGAGTGATCAGTGTCCTTTTTGTGCGGAGGATGCACTGCATACCCTGGGGTTTTAGATAGCTTCACGGGACTGCTGTTGCCACCCAGATACGTGATTTGGTCAATTCACTTAAACTTAAAGCGATAGCTGCATATTTTTTTAAAAGCAAAACAACTTTACAAATATACATGCCATTTAAGGATTAAAATTGCTGTAAAATGATGGAGCACAGTGTTTTTCTAATTCAACTGATTTATACGAGGATTGAAGGGATGCATATGCTAAATGAATACTTAGGACCTTTTTCTTAAAGAAGCATGTGGTGCAGCTGGTCAGAGATGCTCCCTGTCCTTTGAGTACCTCAACTAACTTCGGGGAAAGATGGCAGCTGTTTCTTTTAGAGGCTGAATAAATAGCTTTGGCATATTTTGGGGTGGTCAGTGGCTCTGCCTTGCAGCCTTTGTGCCTCTTCCTATCCCGGGATGGCCTTTTCTTTCTTCTCCCATTCATGCACCCCCGCTTCTCAAATGCCCCCTCTCCTGGGACACTCTCCCTTTCCCCTGCTCGCTGACCGCCTAGGCCAGTTGCCTCACTCTTCTTCCCCTTCCTGGTTTTTCCAGCCTCAGTGTATGTTCTGACCATAATGTGATCGGTCTGGGTGCCATGACCAATTTACTTTTCAAAAGATTTTCCCACGTTGTTGGATATATGTGTGTGCATGTATGCATGCACACGTGTTTGTGTATATGTGTGCATGCACTTTGAAAACTTGTAAGCAATCATGTCATTCCTGAAGGAGCTACACAAAATTCTTAGTGTGCACTGACAGCTGCACTTCCTGTGGATCCCTTTTTCCTTCAGTTGCTCAAGCTCTCACGCTGTAGTTTTTCATTAGCCGCCCTACACTTCAATCTGGATGCTTCCTGACACCACTAAACCAAAATCTTCATCTTTCCTCTTAAATGTGCTCAGCCTTCAGAGCTCTCCTTAAACTCTTGCTTGGCCCTTACATCCAACCACCACATATCCCGAAAACGATTTTCTTGAATACCCTTCACATCCATCCTTGAATCTCGTTCTTAGTGCGGAAGTTTGATGAACCACAGATGGCAGAACCTAGGGAGCAGTCAAGGCAGAGCCAGGGAAAAGGCAGGGCAGTAGTTACTGTGTAGAAACTGGGTTCTGCCTCCCCTGCTACGTTACTTAAGAAAAAACTAAAGTTAAAAGATGCCTCGTTTCACTGTTTTCTCCCTACTTTTTACAGAACTTAAAGGTCTCTTCCCAAACGAATTTCTTGTCTCGAGCCTGGTGGTTCCCCATCTTCTATTTTTTTGAGAAGAATGTACAGGGCTCAATTCCTTGCTGCTTCTCCTGGCCGCTGTCCTGGCCCCCCGGCTGCTTCAAGTCATCATGCAAAAAGTATTCACGGGTCCAGAAGATCGGCGAGGATAACGAGAAGTCTACCTGAGTTGCCAAATGGGCACCAGCTCTTACACCAAAAGAGTTTCATGCTGTAACCAAAGGTGTAGCTTTGTATTTATTTTCAGAGAACTGACTGGTAAATGAAGTGGACCAAATTTTTTGCAAATGATTGGAACAACGAATGAAGTATTACCTTTTGACTGCTTTTCGTTTTTTGTTCTTTTATTCATCCTGAGAAACATATTTTCCTGCAGCTCTTCATTCATTGGTGACAAGCCCGAAAACTAAGGTGCCAAAGACCATACTCCTCTCCTCCGACCTCCTTCACTTCAACATTCTTTCTGGATTGTTTTTTCCCTTCAAGGTCAGAAGAATTTGTTAATGTTTTGAATAAAATATCTGGATATAAATATAGTAACTTGACAGTGAGAGTGGGTTTTATCTTGAAGCATAGTGAGAGCAATCCCCAGCTGTGAGTCAAGTTCAAGTGCACTTTGTTTCTGCCCTGTGAGGAAATGGTCGGTGATATCTTGGAAAGTACTTTGCTCCTGACCCCCAGATGCTCTATGTATGACTTTCACTTTTCTATTCTTTTGTCTTTAACTGGTAATTTTTTTTTTTTAAAGAAGTGGTCCAAGGAAACATATAAGTGACACACCCGTGGATTTTTCCTGTGTGTAAATATTTCACTGTCACGTCTGTCACATCTCTATGACGGACGAGTTCTTTCTGCTAAGGCGCACACCTCCTATACACACAGGAGACGCTGTCTGCCTGGCAGATTTGCACCAAGCCCAGAGCTCTTACCTGTGCCTGCACAGGTTAAAAATACGTATATGAACTGATGCTCACACTCACTGGGGACCAAGCATGTGTTTCCCTTCCAGCTCATGCCCTGGTGTAATGACTGTTTTAAGGCTCCTAATTAGAACTCAGAAGTTTGAGCACGTCATTAAAAATGATTTCTCCTTAGTTGAAATTGTGCTTTACAGAAAAATCAGCTGGAGCCTGAAGATTTAATGTTCCTTGCCTTTTAGCAAGAGATTCAACTCCCTATAAAGTGCTCCTAAGGATACATCCCACGGAGCATCTGACTTTTACCCTGTGGACATTAGCACATGGTGCTGCTCTTAAACATGTTGGCATCAGCATGTGAGGCAGCTACAGCTACATAGGAACAGGGCACAACTGTGTCTAAATTTCCTTGAGGTGATTCAAAAAAGATAGATTTTAAAAATCTAATCAGATTTAATACTATCTCATTTAGTGCATTATTTCATGTTAGTATATCTTCTGGATAATTCTTGGCTTAATTTCTTAACTACCTAAAGATTGATTTGTAAAACTAGCAACCTTAGAAAAAGTTCTAGTTACAAAATTGTCAACACTAAGGCGGAGGGTAGAGAGACCAACAGTCGGGGGGGGTGTGTGGAGGGAAGCAGTTCCTCTCACTTCTCTCAGAATGGAAAAGATCCCCAAGTTTATCCCCGTCAACTATTTGGCCTTGATTACACAAAAGTAAACTTTAAATTGCTTATTAAGAAAAAAAAAAAAAAGCACAATGCAGATCTGTTCAGAAGGGCCTCTGTCCTCTGGTGCTAAAATTCTGCGTTCAGAGTGACTCTTTTCTGTGGTACTGGGTAGTTAAAAGAAAAATGGATGAATTGAAAGGCAGAAAGTAAGACTCTGAATTTTTTTTTTTTTATCTTGTTGAGACAGGGTCTCCCTGTAGCCCCAGCTCACCTGGAACTCTCTATGTAGACCAGGCTGGCCTCAAACTTGCCTGCCTCTGCCTCCCAAGTGCTGGGATTAAAGGCATGTGCCACCATACCCTAATTTAGTTATTTTAACAAGAGTTGAAACCCTAAACATCTTTGGAAGACTTTGAATACAAGAATTTTTCAAGTGTTTTACTAAATAAATGCATATCCAGCTTACCTTGTTTTAGACACAATCCTATACAGTTTTCATTGTTCATTTACTAAAATTTGATTCTTGTAGTAGAACAAGGTATTTGGCTAGGAAACACTGATTTTAACTTCCTGTTGTCTGATTATGAGCGAGTTACCTGACACTGAAGCCTGAGTTTTGCTCTGAGTTCTCAATGAAATAAAACACCGAGAGCTTCATCCGGCTGTATCTAAGATAACCCATTTTTATTCAGTTGAGTAAAGAAAATGCTCAAGCTTTAAAAATCATTGCACTTTGATTATTGGGCCCTTGAAACTTATTAATAAGCCTTGCACTTTACTCATATAATCCAGGTTTTAGAAAATACCATCAGCTTGGAGCACTCGTGGCTCTCGCATGAGCTCTGCTGCTCCCAGGATCACTGTGTGTCTGTCACAGCTCTCCAATAGATGCCGAGGAAAAAGGTGGCTTGAAATTAAGAGAGCAAAATGCCAAAATTTCAAGAATGGAAAGCTAACAGAAAGACTTAACCAAATCTAAGACTTACCCCAACATGCCACTTTGGGATATATATAAACAGTTACCATGATGTTGCCTTTGAAAACAGTAATTTTCTTTGATTTTATTTTTGAGGCAGGGTCTCATCTCACTAGTAGCTCAGATTAGCCTCAAACTTGCAGTGCTCCTGCCTTGGCCTGAATATTGGGCTTGCAGGAATGTGCTACAATAGCCACCAAGCAACACCTTTCCTTTGCCAGTTAAGATACAGATCATATCCATTATCCGTGTTTCTGTAAGCCCATGCTTCTGTTTGAAGACTTCCCTGTAATTTAGTCCTTCTGGGAAATGTGCATAACATATAACACCTGTTAAATATGCCTTGTGTTTTTCCTGAGTCTTTCCAATGGAAATGTCTCCTCCCAGATTTTAATTTTCGAGCTCCACTCTTAGATCTGAAAAAGAAAGCATTGTTTCCAAGGTTCCCCTTGAACTACTTGTGACTGTGTTGTATTACTTACTGGCATGTTAGGAAGCAAGTTTTGCTGTGAGAGGAAGACTACCTGAGCTTGAGCTCTAATAATCTCCCAGGCTGGTATGTGGTGAGGATTCTTTGCTGTGTCACCAGTGCCCCCTTGTGGCAATATGTCATGTATGGACTGTAAACACCACTTTTTTTTTTTTTTGGTCTTTTTTGAGACAGGCTGGCCTTGAACTCACAGAGATCCACCTGCCTCTTCCTCCAAAGTGCTGGGATTAAAGGCGTGCGCCACCACGACCAGCTTGAAACACCACTTTTTAAAATGTATTCTTCAAATTTTTAAAAGGCTTTTTTGTGTTTTTGCCAATAATGGAAAGTATTATGGGAAAGAAACTTTTTATTAAAGACATTCTGAACCCTTTCCAAAGGGCAAGTGCTCAGAATCTGATCACAGAAAATTGGAGACCATCGTTGCCTTTTATGTCACAATCATTAATGTCCAGCTCTAGAGCTACCTAAACTTTATTTTAAAGCCTGAAGACAACTGTCTTTCTTTTTTATTTACATGCTAGCAGTAAAAGTTTTCTTTAATTGAAAGTTCATATCTAGTTCCTTAAATGTTTTGAACTTTTTGTTGTTTGTTTTGTACTATAAAACTTTACATTTTTAAGCTGGTCTTAACACCCACCTCTAGAATAAGGTGTGGGAAGGAGTTTCTTCATGAGTTCACATGTTTAAATCAAGTATAAGTTATATGTATATTGTGTCGAAGGCTTTTCTATTTGTATGTATAAAGATTTCTGATATTTTTGTTTTTAATGTTATTGTGTTGCAATAATTTAACTCTTTTGACTCAGTTGACAAAAATACGCCTTTTACAAAGAAGTGCTCTTCGCTATACTGAAAATCATGTCAGAAGTACCCAAAGACAAGTTTTTATACAGACAGACACCTCATAGGTTCTGATTCATTTTGTTGCTTCTTAATCTTGCTATACTGTGTTCTAAATGAATCACGAATGACGAGGGTGGGTTGTTATGAAATTATTTTAAACTATCCTTTAAAAGAAAAAGAAGAAACTATAAGCTAATCTAGTTGCCAAGTTGGAATTCATTATTTAATTTACCTCCTATGCAAGGATTAATGCTGCAAAATGTATGGTTGGGTTACAGTGTATTCACAGAAGAAATATATTTACAAGGTTGGAAAGGTAGCCAATTGCATTCTTTTGGAAATTTACTGTACTGTTTCAATGTGTTAAGTGCCTTGTTGTAAAGTAAAATTTTAAGTCTAGAATTCCTTATTTTCCTGACCTATATTTTTCATTATGATTACCTACTGTATGCTATTGTAATCATTTTATTAAATGCTTACATTTTAATCAGATATGTAAATTTCAGTCTTCTCAATATCTTTAATTTTTATACATTATTGTGTGAGTGTGTGTGTGTGCATGCAATTTGTGCAGGCATGTGTGTCGTGTGTGTGTGCAGGAGGCATGCGTGTCGTGTGTCTGTGTGTGGAGGTCAGAGGACAACTTTGAGGAGTTGGCTCTCTCTTTCCTTTATGTGGATTCTAGGGATCATGCTTGGGTCTCCAGGCTTATAGGCAAGTGCCTGTACCTGCTGAGCCATCTCCTGCCCCACCACTAATATATTAATCACTGATCTATTACATGGGATTTGAGTTTAGGTTTTGCTTTTGTTGTTTGAAGGGGAAGTTTTTCTTGTGTACAAATATGCTTTCCACTGTAGTTTTGTGTTTGTAAAAACATTTTGGGAGGGATTTAAGACTATAACTACAGGGGCTGGAGAGATGGCTCAGCAGTTAAGAGCAATGACTGCTCTTGCAGAGGACCCTGGTTTGATTCCCAGCACCCACATGGCGGCTATGAACCGTCCTTAACTCCAGTTCCAGGGGAATCCAAAGCCCTCTTCTGACCTTCGCAGCATTGCACGATATAGGGGCACTAACATACATGCAGGCAATACACTCATACGAATAAAATTAAAATAATAAATTTTAAAAAAAGAATATAACTACAAGCTGGGTGTGGTGGCACACACCTTTAATCCTAGCACTGAGGAGGCAGAGGCAGGCAATCTCTGTGAGTTCAAGGCCAGCTTGATCTACATAGTGAGTTCCAGGACAGCAGGGGCTACTGGGAGATTCTGTCTC